TCCTTTTTCTTTACATCGTTCTAAAACGGTGATTAATTTTTCAATATGTTCTGATTGTGATCCGTTTGTAAATATTATAATATCATCGATGTATGCGAGGCAATATTCTTCTAATCCATGGAGATTTCTATCCATGAATTGTTGATATATTGTTGGTGCTTGCTTTAATCCAAATGGAAGAACATTCCATTCATAATGTTTTTGTGGAGGACATGAAAATGCCGTTAATGGTTTTGTTTTTTCTGACAATCGAAGTTGCCAGTATCCTGATTTAGCATCAAGACTGCTAAACCAGTTTTTTCCTTTTATTCTTTCAAGAATATAATCCTTTCTTGGTAATTTATAACTATTTTCAATAGTTGCTTCGTTTAGTTTTTTTGTAGTTTATTATCATTTTTCTCTTTCCTCGTTTTATTTCATTATTATTTTCTACGTAGAAAGCTGGAGCCGAGTGTGGACTCGTACTTTCTCGTATAATACCTTTATCTAATAAATCTTTGCATTCTTTGGTAAATTCTTCTACATCTCTGTGGGTATATTGCATTTTATTTGGTACATTAATTTCATCTTCGGGGTTTTTTAGTTTTATTACTATTAATTCTTCGTTTGTATTTTTTATATCCAATGGATTATCGCTACATATTTCATCAAGTTTTTGTTTAATATGAGTCATACTTATAAATGTTAGTCTGTTTTTTAAATCTTCTATAATTGATTTTATTATTTCGTTTTTTGTTTTTATTTTTGTTGTGATTAATTCTGGTGTTTGATTTTCTAATTTAGGTGCTTTTAGGCTAATTGTTTTTATTCTTTGTATAAATGGTTGATATAACTTTAGAAAATTATTTCCTATAATTATATCTAGTCCAGAATCATGATTGTATATTGTTTTTGCTGGAAATATTCTAGTCTCAATAATTATTGATACGTGTTGAGTCACATACCAGATTTCATGGGCTGATTTATCAGCCACGACTATTCGTAGTGGTTTTTCTAATCGTACCCATTTTTTAATGATATTTCTTTTAGCAAAACATAGAGTCGCTCCAGTATCTATATATGCTAATAATTTTTTCTTTTCAATAGTTATTTGTATAAATGTTGCATTAGGGTTTCCTGATTTTAGTATTTTTCTATTCATTTTCTGAATCAGGTGATTCAGTAGTATATGCATATATTTCGATATCAGAGTCGAACTCTGAATCTGATTCGATTGGTTCAAAGCTCATATCGTATGCTATTCGTAATATTTCTGTTTCTTTTTTCTTTCCTTTTTTAGGACATTCATTTGCATAATGTCATTCCTCTTGGCATAACCAACATTTACAATTCTTTTTCTTAGAAGGGCAATATGTATCCTTCTTTCCATAGTTTTTCTTTCTATATTGTTTTCTGTTTCTAAAATATTTTTGTGGTATATATTTTTGTTTTATGTATTTTTTATATGGGATTTTTCTCCATTTCTTTTTCTTATGTTTTTGGCGAATAGGTTCACAACCATATTTGCCTATTTGTCCTGGTATTACCCCACAACATAATTTATCGATTTTTGCTTCTTGTTTTCGTTTTTCTTGGTTACATTGGAATAAATGTCAATCTTTTAACGTTGTTATTCTCCCACCTAAAGTATTAGGGATTTGTCCTTCATTTACTTTGTTTTGATATATGGTTTTTATTTCTTCTGATATTGATAAAGGAAGTTTGTCAAAAAATAATTCTTCGGCTACTATTTTCTTATCTGTTGATAGTTGATAATAGTGATCTCTGAATTCACAGATAAATGCTTCAAGATAGCACATATTGCAAATTCTAAGATTTACTATTTTCCATAACGCAACTTCTGATATTTGTGTTTCTCTTAGTTGTGTGTTAGAAGTTCTTCCAAGAAATTCTTCCCCTATTACGTCGATTAGTCTAATAAATGTTTCCCATGCAGTTGGTCTTAGAATTTTTTAAGCCTTTATTCCTGATGTTAATCCTATTAAATAGTTATATACTATCCCTGTTGTTTTATGTTCTAAGTAACTTAACATTTCGTGAGGGTGTAATTCTCTTAATTCTTTATTAGTTTGTATTAGTAAACTCGTACGATTTTTTCAATCTTCTAATGTTCTTATTGGATTAATTTCACAATCTAGATTTTATATTGAGGAATATATTCAAAAGGAACTTTTCTCCAATTGTTCCCTTTCGGAATATATTGGTTTTGGTATAATTCGTATTCATAATCTTTATATCCTTGATATTCATCATGTGTTCGTTTTTTAGATAATGTGTTATTATTACTAGTGTGTCCTCTTTCTAGTTCAGCTTTTACTAGGAAGGGATTATCATATGGGTTTTCGTAGGGATTTTCGTCACTACTACAGTCTAAAACAAATTTTTCAGTTTCATCAGGGTGTTCTTCTTCGGGTATATTAAGAGCATCTAACAATGTTGATAATTTTTCTATCTGATCATCTAATCCTTCCATTATATTTTTGGTGGTGATCTAATTCGAAAATTAGATTGATCGAAAGTAACTAATTCTTTTGTTTCTTTAAAATAATTTTATAAATCTTTCATGGTGATATATCTATTTTGATTAAGTCGTTCGATTATTTCTTGTAATTGTTCTATTATTTCTAATATTTTTGGTTTTTCATCTTTGTCTGGATTTATTATTTCTTTCCCTTTATTTTTTGAAATAATATTATTTACTAATTCTTTAGCTTCGTTGAGTTCTTTTATTATTTGAATCTGTCTATTATTATAACTGTAATTATTTGTTGTTGTTAGTATTTCTTTTATATTTAGTAGTAATTCTTTTATCTCGACAGTTGTTTCTCTAATTAATTTTTCTATAGTTTCTTTTATAGTCTCGATCATCCTATTATTGTTCTAATATATTCTTTTAATTCTTCAGAGTGTTGTTTCATTTCTTTAAGGCTTTTTTCTTGCAGATATATTATTTCTTCTAACTTTTTGTTTATATTTTTAGTTTCATCTTGTATTTCATGGTTTTGTTCGAATATTTTTATTAATTTTTGTAATTGATTTTCTAGATCTGATTTTATATTTTCGATGTTTCTTTTTAATTCTTCGTGATTTTCTGGGTTTTGGTGTATGATTCCATAAGAAGTCATTTCCACAATATTATTCAGGGTGAATCCTATTTTCTTTATTTTATTTCCGAGATTATGATTAGTATCATCGTCGAAGATGGTACCAATATAATATCGGCTTTGATTATGAAGATTTTTGGGTATTGTTATCACCTTTCCTTTATAAGAAAATCCGGGATAACACTCGTATTCATTTGTTAATATTAGTGGTAATCCTTTCGAAAAAACAATTTTTTCGTTATCTATAGTTGTTGTCTGGCTCTGATACCAAATGTTTTTGTGGAGTCAAACTAATCGAAATTTAGTAAAACTGGTTGTGGAGTCAAACTAATCGAAATTTAGTCAAACTGGTCATACCATTTGAATTGGTCATACTGGTCATACCAAAAACTTGGTCAGACTGGTCATTCTGGTATTTCCGTAATTTTATTAAAAATATTGGTTTTTTGGAAAACCCTAGAGATTCTAAGGTGATGCCTATTGCTCTTGTCATTTTTAAGGTTATTTTTGTTATTTTGGCGAGTGAAAGTGTCTCAATGTCGTATTTTGAATTCCCTCCTGTCATGCTTTAGTTAGGTTATATGTCCCTTTTACGTAGAATCTATTTGTCCAATATTCATTTTGTTTGCGAAAATCTATGCTATCTTTTTTTTTTTGCGAGCGTGACGTGAAACATTTCACTTTGGAACAACTTCTTCTTCTTCTCTCTTTTTTGGTATATAGTTCTTCTTATCTTTACTTTTCTAAAATTATTTTAAATTATTTTAATTAACTTATACAAAATTAATTAAAATTATTATAATCATTTTTATGGAATTAGAATTCAATATTAATTTTTTCTATATCAGTCCTTCTAGGACATTATTAGTTTCGCTCGACAATTATGTAGAAATTTATTGAATGATCTGTTTTATTGATAATCAAAATAACATATAAATAGATGAGAGTCTTATATTAAATAAGTAAAATAGATATAATAATAAATATTTCTAAATATTTTTTTTTCTGATTTGATAAAATCGATCTCTATTATATAATATATCTCGTAATATTCTTTAAGATCCGGTATATCTCAATAAATCATATCTCACAAGTTAAATTATTAGTTTTGCACCTAATCGGATTTTAATTAAAGTTCATTTCATAATAATATAGATTTTGGATATTCAATGATTGAAAAAATCTCTACAAATTGTGCCAAAAATTAAATACACTAATATGGAAATATGTAAAAAAAAAACACTTCATCCCTTTAAATTGAAAGTAATTTCATACACGATTCTTAATTATACCGTCGATAACTCTATTCAAATTGTTTGAAATTATTTTATATATATACAAATTAATTAATATTTAACAGCCCTTAATAAATTTTATTCTAAAAACAATTCATATTCAAATTTTAACAATATGGTCTAGACGTAGGAAGTTACTTTCAAGTTGAATTGATTTTTTTTTTTTTGCGTATTTCAATATTTGGTATTTTTTTTTGTCAAATTATAGTATATTTTTGTAGGGTTCGTGTATTTTTATGGATTTTTTTCCATATGATTCAGCAGAAGGAATACCAGTTGCATTGTATACTTTAATATATATATATATAAAAAAAAAAGGAAAAAAAAAAAGAGATATGGGTTAGTTTTGTAGTTGAATTGTTATATATATATATATATATATAATGAGAGTCCAAACTGGTGTTGTTTGAAAATACTAATAGGGTTTGAAATGTGAGCCCGAATCATTGTAATGGGCCTTATGGTAGATTCAGCACTGGCTCTTATGTGACTTTTTGAGGCCCAACAATTTTCTTCGGTGAAAAAAACCAACAAAAATAATTTTTGCTTTCTTGTCGTCTTTTTATAAGTGACGCGTGGCAGTATGCTATTCGTTCGAGGTTACAGAGTCATCATTGTTCGCCGCTGAAAATCCCCCCCCCTCGTTATATGTACGGCCGCCGGCAAATCCCCGCATAACTCTCCCCGCCGCCGCTCCGCCCCAAGTAATTCCTGGTGAGGTCCTTCATTTCCGTTTTCCGTTCTGCGTTTAAAAACTTAGGGCTTTCGAACTTTGTGCTCTGTTCTGGAGAGGTTCCTTGGTGAAATGTAGAAACGCTTGGGTCGCTTATTGAGTGATTATTCGATTTACAGCCTGAGTTGCGATATTTTTACGTTGAACTATCATTGGTTTGTAGAATCTGTAATGGAGTGTGATTCGGCGCAGGTATGCTCTAACTATGGCTGCTCCGAGACCGGCATTTTCTATTTCTCCGGCAGCGAGTAACCCGATCAGGTTCGGATGTTTGCCGCCGCAATGCCTTGTCCGTGTTTCTCGGTCTACGTATCCACGAGTAGCAGCTACAAGTTTTGTTTTGCCCAGTTCTCGGAAGCGGATTTGTGGCGGCGATGTGTTCCGATGTGAACTCCCGGATTTTCGTGTTTCGGCTTCAACTACGGGTTCGTTTTACTTCATTGTGTTGGATTAGTGTTTGGGTTTCGTTGTATTCTCGCGTTTTGAAACAAAAAGCTGCTCAATTTGTTTGTAGGCGTATCAACTGAGACATCGGTGGACCAGGTTCAACTCCCTAGAGGTGATATGTGGAGTGTTCACAAGTTTGGTGGGACTTGTGTGGGAAACTCACAACGGTTAAGGAATGTTGCTGAAGTCATCATAAATGACAATTCAGAAAGGAAGCTGGTTGTTGTGTCAGCAATGTCGAAGGTTACAGATATGATGTATGATCTAATCCACAAGGCACAGTCAAGGGATGATTCGTATGTGTACGCGCTGGATGCTGTTCTGGAAAAGCATCGGTTGACAGCTCGCGATCTTCTTGATGGAGCAGATCTTGCGAGTTTCTTGTCCTGTTTGCATAAAGATGTTAATAACCTCAAAGCAATGCTCCGTGCCATATACATAGGTAGCTAGATGATACTTTCTCTGCCATTTACGTAGTCGTCCTCTCTGTCGTAGTGTGATCACAGATATATGGAACAGCCAATAGATGTGTTTTGTGTGTGGTCTTTTTGATTTTTTCAAACATTTCCTCTCTCAGCATTTTTTTCTCTTAAAGTTCTTAGGTAGTTACTATGAGACATTTCATATGCATTATTTTTTTTAGTCTTCTAAAGTGGGACTAAGAACTGATATCCTTTTCTTCTTTGTAGCTGGCCATGCATCTGAGTCATTTTCGGATTTTGTTGTTGGACATGGAGAGCTATGGTCTGCTCAGATGCTATCATTTGTTGTCAGAAAGGTTTGAAGCAGTTAGATTGCTCTTCGTTAAATATATCACGTGTAAGGTTTCTTACTAGCTTTTTACATTTGGCTGTAGACTGGGCTAGAGTGCAAGTGGATGGATACTAGAGATGTGCTTATTGTCAATCCCACCAGCTCTAATCAGGTCGATCCTGATTTTGCTGAATCTGAGCGAAGAATTGAAAAATGGTTCTCGCAAAATCCATCGAAAGTAATTGTTGCAACAGGGTTCATTGCTAGTACTCCGCAGAACATCCCAACAACTTTGAAAAGAGATGGAAGTGATTTTTCAGCAGCTATAATGGGTGCCCTTTTAAGGGCTCGCCAGGTCACAATTTGGACTGATGTGGATGGTGTATACAGCGCAGATCCTCGGAAAGGTTTGTGCCAAGCTTTATTCTCTTCTCATATTTCTGGACACCAATTATGAGACTTATGTTATAGCTCATGAAAGGTAGCATAACTTTGCAAACTTGACTTTTTACTCCTTACTGAAGAAACCATAATCGGCCGACCCCAAATGAACTTGGAAATAAGGCCATGTTGTTGTTGTTGTACTGAAGAAACCATAATAGAGGGGCTAGAGTGTTTGAAAAGTTATTGTCTTATTGGGCACATTGAGTAATTCAGCCATCCTTTCATTTTTTTTTTCAATCATTGTATTCTATGCTCTAGCTTCATGAGTGCTTGGTGCTCCAAATATTGTGCTCTAATAAATACCCTATACAAAGTGCAGTGAACTTGTCAGTCGATAGTTATTGATACTGGCTGATGAATTTATTTAAAGCTGTTCTGTGTTCTAACTCGAGGACCAGATGATCACCATGATATGAACAGGCAAATTACATTTACAGATTATATTTTGAAAAAGATTGAAATGCTTGCTACATTGTCAGGAATTGTAACACTAAAGAGTGTTTTCTGCAGTTAACGAGGCTGTGATACTGAAGACACTGTCATACCAAGAGGCCTGGGAAATGGTCAATCCAGCAGCTCTTACTTTCTTGGTTTTAGGGGTATCATTCCATATACAATCTTTCTGACCAAAATCACTTTTTTTCAGTCTTATTTTGGAGCAAATGTCCTACATCCCCGTACTATTATCCCTGTGATGCGATATGATATTCCGATTGCGATTAGAAATATATTCAATCTCTCTGCTCCGGGAACAATGATTTGCCAACCTGCTTCTGCTGAAAATGCGGATGACTATAACTTGGAGACCCCTGTCAAAGGATTCGCAACTATTGACAATTTGGCTCTTGTAAATGTTGAAGGGTAATCTAGTCATGGTTATGTGGGGTTTTTTTTTTTTTTCTGTTACTCGTGAACAGACATACTGAATTTGTTTCTTATCTCATTGACTGCATCCTTTCATTTCATTTCCTCAGTACTGGAATGGCTGGTGTACCTGGTACTGCTAGTGACATTTTCGGTGCTGTCAAAGATGTTGGAGCTAATGTGATTATGATATCACAGGTGGTGCAAATTCAAACTTCAATCTTGATGGTTCACCAATCTTTCCCTTTATAAACTTTAGGGACTTGTATAATATTGGATATTACTCAGGCTAGCAGTGAGCATTCTGTGTGCTTTGCTGTGCCCGAAAAGGAGGTGAAAGCTGTTTCTGAAGCACTGCGATCTAGATTTAGTCAAGCTTTAAATGCAGGACGTCTTTCCCAGGTTTTGCCCTCCCTCTCTCTTTGCCCCTCTTTCTGTTGATGTGCCGTTTTGTTTTCCTCTGAAGACATTTCAGGTTTTACCTGCTTAATCTAGTCAAATATATTGTTGAACTTAGTGATTTTGCTTTGGAGAGTTAGTCTATTCTCAAATCAAACATCTTTTCCAGATCGAGGTAATACCTAATTGTAGCATCCTAGCAGCAGTGGGTCAAAAAATGTCAAGTACACCTGGAGTTAGTGCTACCCTTTTCAACGCCCTTGCGAAGGTGATTATCGTGCATGCTTGAAATAGGACGATTTCGTTCTTCAATATCTCATTTCGCTAAAGTGCTCTGTTCTGATAGTTTTCCTTTTCACTTGCAGGCTAATATTAATGTCCGTGCTATAGCTCAAGGTTGTTCTGAGTACAATGTTACTGTAGTTGTCAGACGCGAAGATTGCGTAAGGGCGCTAAAAGCTGTGCATTCAAGGTTTTTTCTGTCAAGAACCACCATAGCAATGGGAATAATAGGTCCAGGCTTGATTGGTGGCACATTACTTGATCAGCTTAGGGACCAGGTGAACTCAACTCTCTAGTTATATTTATCATTGCTGTGGCTGTTATCATGCACACTTTTCTCTACATAAATTAGTGAAATCTCGGCAAAAACATCTCATGTCCCACCAGCCTTATGAAGAAATCTGCATAATAAATCAAATAGTTTATGTGTTTAGAAAATTAAAGATGTAAAACCACTTCTTGTCTTGGCAACATAAAAGCTGGAAAAGGAGATCTTTCAATGGGTTGATATAATTTGAGCCTGGCAAATTCGATTTTCCCTTTTGGCTTCCACCACAATAGGCATGATTCAGGTTCTAGTTCTCTAATTCCCTGCCAATAAATCTGAAGTGTAGAAGCTCCATTCCCAGGGTGTATTAGTTCAGTTCTCAGTTAGTTGGGTTTATCTTATAATTATCGCCGTTTTCAGTCGAATTGTCCAAATTGAGAGGCTGATAAAACATCAAATTTTAATTTTCCAGGCTGGCGTTCTCAAACGAGAATTTAACATTGATCTGCGTGTTATGGGAATTACTGGATCAAGAACTATGCTGCTAAGTGACATGTAAGAATGATATCATCCTCTATGAGATTATATGCTCCTTTTTTGTGATATGGCTTTGTTGGCAGATACACCGATTTATTGCTTATACTATGACTCAATTGTGCTCTAGAAGTTCTCAATCCTCACATGCCTTCTTCAGTCACAGCTTGGGTTGGTTGTGTCAGCAGGGCGTCCATGTATTTGGCTTTTAGACATGTTTAAATTCGAAGTTGGTTTTTAGGACTTCCTTTCCCCTAGTTGTTATTTTTTTGTTTGTCTATGTGGCTACACATCTTTAGTAAGACATCTGTGTGGCTTATTCATAACCTATACTCTCTTTTGGTTGTCAATTTTATGATTTTTGAAATCTATGCTTGTAGAGTAACATTCTCAGGTGGATATTAGTCCCTCTTTCAAACGGCAGATGATTTGTTCTGTTCTGTCTCATAACTTCATTAATGTTTCGTTCTTCCAGTGGGATTGACTTGTCGAGATGGAGAGAACTTCTGAACGAGAGAGGAGAAGAGGCTAATATGGATAAATTCACTCAGCACGTGCATGGAAATCATTTTATTCCCAACACTGTCTTGGTTGATTGTACTGCAGACTCTAATATCGCTACCCGTTACTATGATTGGTTACGGAGAGGCATGCATGTCATTACCCCAAATAAGAAGGCTAACTCAGGGCCCCTTGACCAGGTGATATTTATCACACCAATTTATTTTGGAATATCAGTTAGAAAACAAATAGAAAATATTCTACTGTTTTTCATAGGTTCTCTCTGTTGACGATGTTTTACTTGTATTCAGTACCAAAAGCTGAGAGCTCTTCAAAGGAAATCCTACACTCATTACTTCTATGAAGCCACTGTTGGAGCCGGTCTTCCAATTATCAGCACTTTAAGAGGTCTCCTTGAGACCGGAGACAAGATACTACGGATAGAGGGCATTTTCAGGTTTGTGTATGCCATAACGTTTTTATAGCACTGCAGGTTGTGTTTAAGTTCCTTTCTCGTGCTGGTGATTTATTCTTCTTCTTCTTTTGGCAGTGGGACTTTGAGTTATTTATTCAACAATTTTGTCGGAAGTCGAAATTTCAGTGAGGTAGTGGCAGAAGCAAAAAAGGCCGGTTACACTGAACCTGATCCAAGAGAAGATCTATCTGGAACTGATGTTGCTAGGAAGGTAATGTTTTTTTTTTATGTATTGACCTCGGTCTCTATTCTCGTGTAGCTGTTGTACCCAAGCTAGCTGTGATTTTCACCAATGGGAGGAGTTGGACCATTTTTTATGCAGGTGATAATTCTCGCTAGAGAATCCGGCCTGAGATTGGACCTCTCTGACCTACCCATTAGAAGTCTCGTGCCCGAACCTTTAAAAGTGACGACTATGTCCCCTTTTTTTTTTGTTAAATCACCTGACAATCCTTCGATGCATCTAATATCTTCTGCTCCTTCGCTTCAGGCATGCACATCTGCTGAAGAATTCATGGAGAAGCTACCACAATTTGACAAAGACTTGGCCAAAGAAAGACAGGAAGCTGAAAAATCGGGAGAAGTATCTTCGAACTTTCTAGCCATGCCGGTACTGCATCCTCTCAGAATCATAACATCTGAAACCCTTCCTTTTCCCGTCGGTATAGGACGATTTCGTTCTTCAATATCTCATTTCGCTAAAGTGCTCTGTTCTGATAGTTTTCCTTTTCACTTGCAGGCTAATATTAATGTCCGTGCTATAGCTCAAGGTTGTTCTGAGTACAATGTTACTGTAGTTGTCAGACGCGAAGATTGCGTAAGGGCGCTAAAAGCTGTGCATTCAAGGTTTTTTCTGTCAAGAACCACCATAGCAATGGGAATAATAGGTCCAGGCTTGATTGGTGGCACATTACTTGATCAGCTTAGGGACCAGGTGAACTCAACTCTCTAGTTATATTTATCATTGCTGTGGCTGTTATCATGCACACTTTTCTCTACATAAATTAGTGAAATCTCGGCAAAAACATCTCATGTCCCACCAGCCTTATGAAGAAATCTGCATAATAAATCAAATAGTTTATGTGTTTAGAAAATTAAAGATGTAAAACCACTTCTTGTCTTGGCAACATAAAAGCTGGAAAAGGAGATCTTTCAATGGGTTGATATAATTTGAGCCTGGCAAATTCGATTTTCCCTTTTGGCTTCCACCACAATAGGCATGATTCAGGTTCTAGTTCTCTAATTACCTGCCAATAAATCTGAAGTGTAGAAGCTCCATTCCCAGGGTGTATTAGTTCAGTTCTCAGTTAGTTGGGTTTATCTTATAATTATCGCCGTTTTCAGTCGAATTGTCCAAATTGAGAGGCTGATAAAACATCAAATTTTAATTTTCCAGGCTGGCGTTCTCAAACGAGAATTTAACATTGATCTGCGTGTTATGGGAATTACTGGATCAAGAACTATGCTGCTAAGTGACATGTAAGAATGATATCATCCTCTATGAGATTATATGCTCCTTTTTTGTGATATGGCTTTGTTGGCAGATACACCGATTTATTGCTTATACTATGACTCAATTGTGCTCTAGAAGTTCTCAATCCTCACATGCCTTCTTCAGTCACAGCTTGGGTTGGTTGTGTCAGCAGGGCGTCCATGTATTTGGCTTTTAGACATGTTTAAATTCGAAGTTGGTTTTTAGGACTTCCTTTCCCCTAGTTGTTATTTTTTTGTTTGTCTATGTGGCTACACATCTTTAGTAAGACATCTGTGTGGCTTATTCATAACCTATACTCTCTTTTGGTTGTCAATTTTATGATTTTTGAAATCTATGCTTGTAGAGTAACATTCTCAGGTGGATATTAGTCCCTCTTTCAAACGGCAGATGATTTGTTCTGTTCTGTCTCATAACTTCATTAATGTTTCGTTCTTCCAGTGGGATTGACTTGTCGAGATGGAGAGAACTTCTGAACGAGAGAGGAGAAGAGGCTAATATGGATAAATTCACTCAGCACGTGCATGGAAATCATTTTATTCCCAACACTGTCTTGGTTGATTGTACTGCAGACTCTAATATCGCTACCCGTTACTATGATTGGTTACGGAGAGGCATGCATGTCATTACCCCAAATAAGAAGGCTAACTCAGGGCCCCTTGACCAGGTGATATTTATCACACCAATTTATTTTGGAATATCAGTTAGAAAACAAATAGAAAATATTCTACTGTTTTTCATAGGTTCTCTCTGTTGACGATGTTTTACTTGTATTCAGTACCAAAAGCTGAGAGCTCTTCAAAGGAAATCCTACACTCATTACTTCTATGAAGCCACTGTTGGAGCCGGTCTTCCAATTATCAGCACTTTAAGAGGTCTCCTTGAGACCGGAGACAAGATACTACGGATAGAGGGCATTTTCAGGTTTGTGTATGCCATAACGTTTTTATAGCACTGCAGGTTGTGTTTAAGTTCCTTTCTCGTGCTGGTGATTTATTCTTCTTCTTCTTTTGGCAGTGGGACTTTGAGTTATTTATTCAACAATTTTGTCGGAAGTCGAAATTTCAGTGAGGTAGTGGCAGAAGCAAAAAAGGCCGGTTACACTGAACCTGATCCAAGAGAAGATCTATCTGGAACTGATGTTGCTAGGAAGGTAATGTTTTTTTTTTATGTATTGACCTCGGTCTCTATTCTCGTGTAGCTGTTGTACCCAAGCTAGCTGTGATTTTCACCAATGGGAGGAGTTGGACCATTTTTTATGCAGGTGATAATTCTCGCTAGAGAATCCGGCCTGAGATTGGACCTCTCTGACCTACCCATTAGAAGTCTCGTGCCCGAACCTTTAAAAGTGACGACTATGTCCCCTTTTTTTTTTGTTAAATCACCTGACAATCCTTCGATGCATCTAATATCTTCTGCTCCTTCGCTTCAGGCATGCACATCTGCTGAAGAATTCATGGAGAAGCTACCACAATTTGACAAAGACTTGGCCAAAGAAAGACAGGAAGCTGAAAAATCGGGAGAAGTATCTTCGAACTTTCTAGCCATGCCGGTACTGCATCCTCTCAGAATCATAACATCTGAAACCCTTCCTTTTCCCGTCGGTATAGGACGATTTCGTTCTTCAATATCTCATTTCGCTAAAGTGCTCTGTTCTGATAGTTTTCCTTTTCACTTGCAGGCTAATATTAATGTCCGTGCTATAGCTCAAGGTTGTTCTGAGTACAATGTTACTGTAGTTGTCAGACGCGAAGATTGCGTAAGGGCGCTAAAAGCTGTGCATTCAAGGTTTTTTCTGTCAAGAACCACCATAGCAATGGGAATAATAGGTCCAGGCTTGATTGGTGGCACATTACTTGATCAGCTTAGGGACCAGGTGAACTCAACTCTCTAGTTATATTTATCATTGCTGTGGCTGTTATCATGCACACTTTTCTCTACATAAATTAGTGAAATCTCGGCAAAAACATCTCATGTCCCACCAGCCTTATGAAGAAATCTGCATAATAAATCAAATAGTTTATGTGTTTAGAAAATTAAAGATGTAAAACCACTTCTTGTCTTGGCAACATAAAAGCTGGAAAAGGAGATCTTTCAATGGGTTGATATAATTTGAGCCTGGCAAATTCGATTTTCCCTTTTGGCTTCCACCACAATAGGCATGATTCAGGTTCTAGTTCTCTAATTACCTGCCAATAAATCTGAAGTGTAGAAGCTCCATTCCCAGGGTGTATTAGTTCAGTTCTCAGTTAGTTGGGTTTATCTTATAATTATCGCCGTTTTCAGTCGAATTGTCCAAATTGAGAGGCTGATAAAACATCAAATTTTAATTTTCCAGGCTGGCGTTCTCAAACGAGAATTTAACATTGATCTGCGTGTTATGGGAATTACTGGATCAAGAACTATGCTGCTAAGTGACATGTAAGAATGATATCATCCTCTATGAGATTATATGCTCCTTTTTTGTGATATGGCTTTGTTGGCAGATACACCGATTTATTGCTTATACTATGACTCAATTGTGCTCTAGAAGTTCTCAATCCTCACATGCCTTCTTCAGTCACAGCTTGGGTTGGTTGTGTCAGCAGGGCGTCCATGTATTTGGCTTTTAGACATGTTTAAATTCGAAGTTGGTTTTTAGGACTTCCTTTCCCCTAGTTGTTATTTTTTTGTTTGTCTATGTGGCTACACATCTTTAGTAAGACATCTGTGTGGCTTATTCATAACCTATACTCTCTTTTGGTTGTCAATTTTATGATTTTTGAAATCTATGCTTGTAGAGTAACATTCTCAGGTGGATATTAGTCCCTCTTTCAAACGGCAGATGATTTGTTCTGTTCTGTCTCATAACTTCATTAATGTTTCGTTCTTCCAGTGGGATTGACTTGTCGAGATGGAGAGAACTTCTGAACGAGAGAGGAGAAGAGGCTAATATGGATAAATTCACTCAGCACGTGCATGGAAATCATTTTATTCCCAACACTGTCTTGGTTGATTGTACTGCAGACTCTAATATCGCTACCCGTTACTATGATTGGTTACGGAGAGGCATGCATGTCATTACCCCAAATAAGAAGGCTAACTCAGGGCCCCTTGACCAGGTGATATTTATCACACCAATTTATTTTGGAATATCAGTTAGAAAACAAATAGAAAATATTCTACTGTTTTTCATAGGTTCTCTCTGTTGACGATGTTTTACTTGTATTCAGTACCAAAAGCTGAGAGCTCTTCAAAGGAAATCCTACACTCATTACTTCTATGAAGCCACTGTTGGAGCCGGTCTTCCAATTATCAGCACTTTAAGAGGTCTCCTTGAGACCGGAGACAAGATACTACGGATAGAGGGCATTTTCAGGTTTGTGTATGCCATAACGTTTTTATAGCACTGCAGGTTGTGTTTAAGTTCCTTTCTCGTGCTGGTGATTTATTCTTCTTCTTCTTTTGGCAGTGGGACTTTGAGTTATTTATTCAACAATTTTGTCGGAAGTCGAAATTTCAGTGAGGTAGTGGCAGAAGCAAAAAAGGCCGGTTACACTGAACCTGATCCAAGAGAAGATCTATCTGGAACTGATGTTGCTAGGAAGGTAATGTTTTTTTTTTATGTATTGACCTCGGTCTCTATTCTCGTGTAGCTGTTGTACCCAAGCTAGCTGTGATTTTCACCAATGGGAGGAGTTGGACCATTTTTTATGCAGGTGATAATTCTCGCTAGAGAATCCGGCCTGAGATTGGACCTCTCTGACCTACCCATTAGAAGTCTCGTGCCCGAACCTTTAAAAGTGACGACTATGTCCCCTTTTTTTTTTGTTAAATCACCTGACAATCCTTCGATGCATCTAATATCTTCTGCTCCTTCGCTTCAGGCATGCACATCTGCTGAAGAATTCATGGAGAAGCTACCACAATTTGACAAAGACTTGGCCAAAGAAAGACAGGAAGCTGAAAAATCGGGAGAAGTATCTTCGAACTTTCTAGCCATGCCGGTACTGCATCCTCTCAGAATCATAACATCTGAAACCCTTCCTTTTCCCGTCGGTATAGGACGATTTCGTTCTTCAATATCTCATTTCGCTAAAGTGCTCTGTTCTGATAGTTTTCCTTTTCACTTGCAGGCTAATATTAATGTCCGTGCTATAGCTCAAGGTTGTTCTGAGTACAATGTTACTGTAGTTGTCAGACGCGAAGATTGCGTAAGGGCGCTAAAAGCTGTGCATTCAAGGTTTTTTCTGTCAAGAACCACCATAGCAATGGGAATAATAGGTCCAGGCTTGATTGGTGGCACATTACTTGATCAGCTTAGGGACCAGGTGAACTCAACTCTCTAGTTATATTTATCATTGCTGTGGCTGTTATCATGCACACTTTTCTCTACATAAATTAGTGAAATCTCGGCAAAAACATCTCATGTCCCACCAGCCTTATGAAGAAATCTGCATAATAAATCAAATAGTTTATGTGTTTAGAAAATTAAAGATGTAAAACCACTTCTTGTCTTGGCAACATAAAAGCTGGAAAAGGAGATCTTTCAATGGGTTGATATAATTTGAGCCTGGCAAATTCGATTTTCCCTTTTGGCTTCCACCACAATAGGCATGATTCAGGTTCTAGTTCTCTAATTACCTGCCAATAAATCTGAAGTGTAGAAGCTCCATTCCCAGGGTGTATTAGTTCAGTTCTCAGTTAGTTGGGTTTATCTTATAATTATCGCCGTTTTCAGTCGAATTGTCCAAATTGAGAGGCTGATAAAACATCAAATTTTAATTTTCCAGGCTGGCGTTCTCAAACGAGAATTTAACATTGATCTGCGTGTTATGGGAATTACTGGATCAAGAACTATGCTGCTAAGTGACATGTAAGAATGATATCATCCTCTATGAGATTATATGCTCCTTTTTTGTGATATGGCTTTGTTGGCAGATACACCGATTTATTGCTTATACTATGACTCAATTGTGCTCTAGAAGTTCTCAATCCTCACATGCCTTCTTCAGTCACAGCTTGGGTTGGTTGTGTCAGCAGGGCGTCCATGTATTTGGCTTTTAGACATGTTTAAATTCGAAGTTGGTTTTTAGGACTTCCTTTCCCCTAGTTGTTATTTTTTTGTTTGTCTATGTGGCTACACATCTTTAGTAAGACATCTGTGTGGCTTATTCATAACCTATACTCTCTTTTGGTTGTCAATTTTATGATTTTTGAAATCTATGCTTGTAGAGTAACATTCTCAGGTGGATATTAGTCCCTCTTTCAAACGGCAGATGATTTGTTCTGTTCTGTCTCATAACTTCATTAATGTTTCGTTCTTCCAGTGGGATTGACTTGTCGAGATGGAGAGAACTTCTGAACGAGAGAGGAGAAGAGGCTAATATGGATAAATTCACTCAGCACGTGCATGGAAATCATTTTATTCCCAACACTGTCTTGGTTGATTGTACTGCAGACTCTAATATCGCTACCCGTTACTATGATTGGTTACGGAGAGGCATGCATGTCATTACCCCAAATAAGAAGGCTAACTCAGGGCCCCTTGACCAGGTGATATTTATCACACCAATTTATTTTGGAATATCAGTTAGAAAACAAATAGAAAATATTCTACTGTTTTTCATAGGTTCTCTCTGTTGACGATGTTTTACTTGTATTCAGTACCAAAAGCTGAGAGCTCTTCAAAGGAAATCCTACACTCATTACTTCTATGAAGCCACTGTTGGAGCCGGTCTTCCAATTATCAGCACTTTAAGAGGTCTCCTTGAGACCGGAGACAAGATACTACGGATAGAGGGCATTTTCAGGTTTGTGTATGCCATAACGTTTTTATAGCACTGCAGGTTGTGTTTAAGTTCCTTTCTCGTGCTGGTGATTTATTCTTCTTCTTCTTTTGGCAGTGGGACTTTGAGTTATTTATTCAACAATTTTGTCGGAAGTCGAAATTTCAGTGAGGTAGTGGCAGAAGCAAAAAAGGCCGGTTACACTGAACCTGATCCAAGAGAAGATCTATCTGGAACTGATGTTGCTAGGAAGGTAATGTTTTTTTTTTATGTATTGACCTCGGTCTCTATTCTCGTGTAGCTGTTGTACCCAAGCTAGCTGTGATTTTCACCAATGGGAGGAGTTGGACCATTTTTTATGCAGGTGATAATTCTCGCTAGAGAATCCGGCCTGAGATTGGACCTCTCTGACCTACCCATTAGAAGTCTCGTGCCCGAACCTTTAAAAGTGACGACTATGTCCCCTTTTTTTTTTGTTAAATCACCTGACAATCCTTCGATGCATCTAATATCTTCTGCTCCTTCGCTTCAGGCATGCACATCTGCTGAAGAATTCATGGAGAAGCTACCACAATTTGACAAAGACTTGGCCAAAGAAAGACAGGAAGCTGAAAAATCGGGAGAAGTATCTTCGAACTTTCTAGCCATGCCGGTACTGCATCCTCTCAGAATCATAACATCTGAAACCCTTCCTTTTCCCGTCGGTATAGGACGATTTCGTTCTTCAATATCTCATTTCGCTAAAGTGCTCTGTTCTGATAGTTTTCCTTTTCACTTGCAGGCTAATATTAATGTCCGTGCTATAGCTCAAGGTTGTTCTGAGTACAATGTTACTGTAGTTGTCAGACGCGAAGATTGCGTAAGGGCGCTAAAAGCTGTGCATTCAAGGTTTTTTCTGTCAAGAACCACCATAGCAATGGGAATAATAGGTCCAGGCTTGATTGGTGGCACATTACTTGATCAGCTTAGGGACCAGGTGAACTCAACTCTCTAGTTATATTTATCATTGCTGTGGCTGTTATCATGCACACTTTTCTCTACATAAATTAGTGAAATCTCGGCAAAAACATCTCATGTCCCACCAGCCTTATGAAGAAATCTGCATAATAAATCAAATAGTTTATGTGTTTAGAAAATTAAAGATGTAAAACCACTTCTTGTCTTGGCAACATAAAAGCTGGAAAAGGAGATCTTTCAATGGGTTGATATAATTTGAGCCTGGCAAATTCGATTTTCCCTTTTGGCTTCCACCACAATAGGCATGATTCAGGTTCTAGTTCTCTAATTACCTGCCAATAAATCTGAAGTGTAGAAGCTCCATTCCCAGGGTGTATTAGTTCAGTTCTCAGTTAGTTGGGTTTATCTTATAATTATCGCCGTTTTCAGTCGAATTGTCCAAATTGAGAGGCTGATAAAACATCAAATTTTAATTTTCCAGGCTGGCGTTCTCAAACGAGAATTTAACATTGATCTGCGTGTTATGGGAATTACTGGATCAAGAACTATGCTGCTAAGTGACATGTAAGAATGATATCATCCTCTATGAGATTATATGCTCCTTTTTTGTGATATGGCTTTGTTGGCAGATACACCGATTTATTGCTTATACTATGACTCAATTGTGCTCTAGAAGTTCTCAATCCTCACATGCCTTCTTCAGTCACAGCTTGGGTTGGTTGTGTCAGCAGGGCGTCCATGTATTTGGCTTTTAGACATGTTTAAATTCGAAGTTGGTTTTTAGGACTTCCTTTCCCCTAGTTGTTATTTTTTTGTTTGTCTATGTGGCTACACATCTTTAGTAAGACATCTGTGTGGCTTATTCATAACCTATACTCTCTTTTGGTTGTCAATTTTATGATTTTTGAAATCTATGCTTGTAGAGTAACATTCTCAGGTGGATATTAGTCCCTCTTTCAAACGGCAGATGATTTGTTCTGTTCTGTCTCATAACTTCATTAATGTTTCGTTCTTCCAGTGGGATTGACTTGTCGAGATGGAGAGAACTTCTGAACGAGAGAGGAGAAGAGGCTAATATGGATAAATTCACTCAGCACGTGCATGGAAATCATTTTATTCCCAACACTGTCTTGGTTGATTGTACTGCAGACTCTAATATCGCTACCCGTTACTATGATTGGTTACGGAGAGGCATGCATGTCATTACCCCAAATAAGAAGGCTAACTCAGGGCCCCTTGACCAGGTGATATTTATCACACCAATTTATTTTGGAATATCAGTTAGAAAACAAATAGAAAATATTCTACTGTTTTTCATAGGTTCTCTCTGTTGACGATGTTTTACTTGTATTCAGTACCAAAAGCTGAGAGCTCTTCAAAGGAAATCCTACACTCATTACTTCTATGAAGCCACTGTTGGAGCCGGTCTTCCAATTATCAGCACTTTAAGAGGTCTCCTTGAGACCGGAGACAAGATACTACGGATAGAGGGCATTTTCAGGTTTGTGTATGCCATAACGTTTTTATAGCACTGCAGGTTGTGTTTAAGTTCCTTTCTCGTGCTGGTGATTTATTCTTCTTCTTCTTTTGGCAGTGGGACTTTGAGTTATTTATTCAACAATTTTGTCGGAAGTCGAAATTTCAGTGAGGTAGTGGCAGAAGCAAAAAAGGCCGGTTACACTGAACCTGATCCAAGAGAAGATCTATCTGGAACTGATGTTGCTAGGAAGGTAATGTTTTTTTTTTATGTATTGACCTCGGTCTCTATTCTCGTGTAGCTGTTGTACCCAAGCTAGCTGTGATTTTCACCAATGGGAGGAGTTGGACCATTTTTTATGCAGGTGATAATTCTCGCTAGAGAATCCGGCCTGAGATTGGACCTCTCTGACCTACCCATTAGAAGTCTCGTGCCCGAACCTTTAAAAGTGACGACTATGTCCCCTTTTTTTTTTGTTAAATCACCTGACAATCCTTCGATGCATCTAATATCTTCTGCTCCTTCGCTTCAGGCATGCACATCTGCTGAAGAATTCATGGAGAAGCTACCACAATTTGACAAAGACTTGGCCAAAGAAAGACAGGAAGCTGAAAAATCGGGAGAAGTATCTTCGAACTTTCTAGCCATGCCGGTACTGCATCCTCTCAGAATCATAACATCTGAAACCCTTCCTTTTCCCGTCGGTATAGGACGATTTCGTTCTTCAATATCTCATTTCGCTAAAGTGCTCTGTTCTGATAGTTTTCCTTTTCACTTGCAGGCTAATATTAATGTCCGTGCTATAGCTCAAGGTTGTTCTGAGTACAATGTTACTGTAGTTGTCAGACGCGAAGATTGCGTAAGGGCGCTAAAAGCTGTGCATTCAAGGTTTTTTCTGTCAAGAACCACCATAGCAATGGGAATAATAGGTCCAGGCTTGATTGGTGGCACATTACTTGATCAGCTTAGGGACCAGGTGAACTCAACTCTCTAGTTATATTTATCATTGCTGTGGCTGTTATCATGCACACTTTTCTCTACATAAATTAGTGAAATCTCGGCAAAAACATCTCATGTCCCACCAGCCTTATGAAGAAATCTGCATAATAAATCAAATAGTTTATGTGTTTAGAAAATTAAAGATGTAAAACCACTTCTTGTCTTGGCAACATAAAAGCTGGAAAAGGAGATCTTTCAATGGGTTGATATAATTTGAGCCTGGCAAATTCGATTTTCCCTTTTGGCTTCCACCACAATAGGCATGATTCAGGTTCTAGTTCTCTAATTACCTGCCAATAAATCTGAAGTGTAGAAGCTCCATTCCCAGGGTGTATTAGTTCAGTTCTCAGTTAGTTGGGTTTATCTTATAATTATCGCCGTTTTCAGTCGAATTGTCCAAATTGAGAGGCTGATAAAACATCAAATTTTAATTTTCCAGGCTGGCGTTCTCAAACGAGAATTTAACATTGATCTGCGTGTTATGGGAATTACTGGATCAAGAACTATGCTGCTAAGTGACATGTAAGAATGATATCATCCTCTATGAGATTATATGCTCCTTTTTTGTGATATGGCTTTGTTGGCAGATACACCGATTTATTGCTTATACTATGACTCAATTGTGCTCTAGAAGTTCTCAATCCTCACATGCCTTCTTCAGTCACAGCTTGGGTTGGTTGTGTCAGCAGGGCGTCCATGTATTTGGCTTTTAGACATGTTTAAATTCGAAGTTGGTTTTTAGGACTTCCTTTCCCCTAGTTGTTATTTTTTTGTTTGTCTATGTGGCTACACATCTTTAGTAAGACATCTGTGTGGCTTATTCATAACCTATACTCTCTTTTGGTTGTCAATTTTATGATTTTTGAAATCTATGCTTGTAGAGTAACATTCTCAGGTGGATATTAGTCCCTCTTTCAAACGGCAGATGATTTGTTCTGTTCTGTCTCATAACTTCATTAATGTTTCGTTCTTCCAGTGGGATTGACTTGTCGAGATGGAGAGAACTTCTGAACGAGAGAGGAGAAGAGGCTAATATGGATAAATTCACTCAGCACGTGCATGGAAATCATTTTATTCCCAACACTGTCTTGGTTGATTGTACTGCAGACTCTAATATCGCTACCCGTTACTATGATTGGTTACGGAGAGGCATGCATGTCATTACCCCAAATAAGAAGGCTAACTCAGGGCCCCTTGACCAGGTGATATTTATCACACCAATTTATTTTGGAATATCAGTTAGAAAACAAATAGAAAATATTCTACTGTTTTTCATAGGTTCTCTCTGTTGACGATGTTTTACTTGTATTCAGTACCAAAAGCTGAGAGCTCTTCAAAGGAAATCCTACACTCATTACTTCTATGAAGCCACTGTTGGAGCCGGTCTTCCAATTATCAGCACTTTAAGAGGTCTCCTTGAGACCGGAGACAAGATACTACGGATAGAGGGCATTTTCAGGTTTGTGTATGCCATAACGTTTTTATAGCACTGCAGGTTGTGTTTAAGTTCCTTTCTCGTGCTGGTGATTTATTCTTCTTCTTCTTTTGGCAGTGGGACTTTGAGTTATTTATTCAACAATTTTGTCGGAAGTCGAAATTTCAGTGAGGTAGTGGCAGAAGCAAAAAAGGCCGGTTACACTGAACCTGATCCAAGAGAAGATCTATCTGGAACTGATGTTGCTAGGAAGGTAATGTTTTTTTTTTATGTATTGACCTCGGTCTCTATTCTCGTGTAGCTGTTGTACCCAAGCTAGCTGTGATTTTCACCAATGGGAGGAGTTGGACCATTTTTTATGCAGGTGATAATTCTCGCTAGAGAATCCGGCCTGAGATTGGACCTCTCTGACCTACCCATTAGAAGTCTCGTGCCCGAACCTTTAAAAGTGACGACTATGTCCCCTTTTTTTTTTGTTAAATCACCTGACAATCCTTCGATGCATCTAATATCTTCTGCTCCTTCGCTTCAGGCATGCACATCTGCTGAAGAATTCATGGAGAAGCTACCACAATTTGACAAAGACTTGGCCAAAGAAAGACAGGAAGCTGAAAAATCGGGAGAAGTATCTTCGAACTTTCTAGCCATGCCGGTACTGCATCCTCTCAGAATCATAACATCTGAAACCCTTCCTTTTCCCGTCGGTATAGGACGATTTCGTTCTTCAATATCTCATTTCGCTAAAGTGCTCTGTTCTGATAGTTTTCCTTTTCACTTGCAGGCTAATATTAATGTCCGTGCTATAGCTCAAGGTTGTTCTGAGTACAATGTTACTGTAGTTGTCAGACGCGAAGATTGCGTAAGGGCGCTAAAAGCTGTGCATTCAAGGTTTTTTCTGTCAAGAACCACCATAGCAATGGGAATAATAGGTCCAGGCTTGATTGGTGGCACATTACTTGATCAGCTTAGGGACCAGGTGAACTCAACTCTCTAGTTATATTTATCATTGCTGTGGCTGTTATCATGCACACTTTTCTCTACATAAATTAGTGAAATCTCGGCAAAAACATCTCATGTCCCACCAGCCTTATGAAGAAATCTGCATAATAAATCAAATAGTTTATGTGTTTAGAAAATTAAAGATGTAAAACCACTTCTTGTCTTGGCAACATAAAAGCTGGAAAAGGAGATCTTTCAATGGGTTGATATAATTTGAGCCTGGCAAATTCGATTTTCCCTTTTGGCTTCCACCACAATAGGCATGATTCAGGTTCTAGTTCTCTAATTACCTGCCAATAAATCTGAAGTGTAGAAGCTCCATTCCCAGGGTGTATTAGTTCAGTTCTCAGTTAGTTGGGTTTATCTTATAATTATCGCCGTTTTCAGTCGAATTGTCCAAATTGAGAGGCTGATAAAACATCAAATTTTAATTTTCCAGGCTGGCG